GCTAACAGTCACAAATTGTATGATTTCATTGACAGGAAATACTTAGAAAAGGAAATACTTAGAAAAGATAAATCCATAGAGACTGAACATAAATTGGTTGCTGCTAGAGTCTCAAGGGAGGGAGTAATGAGTGGAAACCGCTTAATGGGAAAACACTTTTATTTTGGAAAGATGAAAATGTTTTTGGAACTCAATACCGGAGGTGGTTGTACAACATTGTGATTTTAAATGTTTAATATGTTTAATTTTATGTGATGTGAAGTTAGTCATATTACATTATGTTTAATATGAGTGACAAGGTTGAGAGAGCACCAGCACTGTATTCCATACACTCAGAATCAGCTGGTTGTAATCAGTCTACTCTGTGATGAGAGTATGGAATTTGTTGTTATTGATCCCTGGGAGCCTGATGAGGGCCAGGGGTAATTTTATAGAGTCTTCTTGAAAGAAGAATTCAATTTTCCTCTTAAATATATTCTATTTTATTATGACATTAGATTATCATGGCTTATGGATAGCACTTTTGATGGGTACGTTTCTATCCCATTTGCTGCTTTATTTTCCATGCTTGCCTGAGATTTCAGATGGTCTCATCGATCCACACAAGAAATTGAAACACAGAAGCATAAATGCTCTTCTTTTGAGTCGGTTTTCTCTGTACAGTAGAAGATAGTTATACCAAAGCAGGTGAATATATGAATTTCTTTAGGCTTAAGTGCTTTAATTTTGCTTTAAATGGTTTAGATTAGTCAACATTATACATAAAATGATCTAGATAATCATAAATAGTATTTACATTCTATGTGAATTAGTCTGTGAAGTTTTTGGTAGTTTTCTGTACCCATATATGAGTACAAATATGTTCCTGTAACATAAATATCTATGCTTATTATGGGATTGTGCAATATGCTTTTGCAAATAACATTTTTTTAAGATTTATCTATTCATGCACACAAGGACTGGGGTACAGGCCAGAGGTGCAGAGGTGTAAGGGGTGAGAGGATTCACCGGAGACAGAGTGGGGAACAGAACAGGCAGACTGATGGAAATACGCTGCTGAGGGGAGCAGCGGGTGAGTCAGGAGAAATCTGCTGTGCCATGTGGGTTGTTCCCTGACCCGGGATCGAACTCGTGCTGCAGTGGCTGTGGATAGCTTCATAGGTTGTGTCTTAACCCCTTGTGCCACCAGGGAGGCCTGCAAATAACATTTTTAATATTCCTGTATATTGAGTCCCCATGTGTTGCATATCTTGCTTTATATGTTACATTGATAATGTCTAATCCTTAGAACATCTCTGGAAGGTAATTGTTATAATTTCATTATTACAGATGAGATAAAGGTTCAAACAAGTCAAGTGATATACTCAAGGAAAAGTGGTGTGGGTTCACTTTTCGTGAATACTTAATCATGTTTGACTAGCACACTTTGTGATTATGATCTCTTTGTGCAGCTTTTATTTTGCAAGATTTCTTATAAAACAGCTCACATGCAAATCACAGAGCCAGTTTCTAACTAGTTTGACCTCCCTAAAGAAAGGCTCATATCTGCTCGCATTTCTGAATTAGCCTGTAGAGACAGATCACCATACTCGTGGGAGTAGTGACGTTTAGCTGTCCTGAGGGAATGAGTGCATCAATTTATATGAAAGCTTAGATTTTGTTTATTATTTTTTAAAGATTTATTTATTTATGCATACAAGAACTGGGGTATAGTCCAGAGGTGTGGGGGGTGAGAGGATTCACTAGAGACAGAGCAGGGAACAGAACAGGGAGACTGAATGAAATTCACTGCTGAGGGGAGCAGCAGGACATACAAGAGAGGTCTGCTGCACCATGTGGGTTGCTCCCTGTCAGGGGATCGAACTCATGCTGCAGTGGCTGCGGTAAGCTTTGTAGGTTGCGTCTTAACCCCTTGAGCCACCAGGGAGGCCCAAAAGCTTTGATTTTAAAACACATTCAGGTACCCCCAAATAATTACCAAGCATGCTGTATAACTATGGGGGAGGATGTAAAATTTGGGTCACACAAATCCTGAGCAACCTGTAATTTAAGGAAGGCAGCAATATAACAAAAACTTGTACATTAGTGTAACTCATTCAGGTTTTGATGTGAAATGACTTTTCCAGCATGGACCTTTGCTTCTCTTCCTGCAGCTTCACTAATAACTGTCTCTAAATACCTTGTATTTTCCTGCCACTTACTTTTCTTGACACTTCCATTGCCTGAAATATGCGCCTCATTGTCACTAATTCTCAACCTTTCTTTTTCCTTGTTGAAAGCTCTCTGCTCTCATGCTAATCCCCCAGCTCTTTGTCTCCTCTGGTTCATGACAATAATTTCTGTTTGAAACACACATTTGCAATTTGACTTTTACTTTTGCACTAGATTTCAATATTTATATTTATGGTTGATTTCTGTTACTAGTGAAGAGTTCTAGTATTTTTGTCCCATCATATGCCTTGGATGTAGTACAAATTCATAAAATAGTAGTTGCTAACTTTATAACTCTCCAACATAAGGTTTTCTCAAAATATATTCACTGAAATGCTGTTTCTGGGAGAGAGACTTTGAGAAAAGATGATTATGGGTCAAACAAGACTGAAAAACACTACAATTTTCTGCCCAGGACATTCATGCTATACATTGCCATTTTTAACACTCTGAGGAGTTCTTCAATAGTAAAGCCAATTTTACTATTTCAACATATTTTACTTTCCTCCCATTTTTAAAACAATAACCCTACTAATATTTCCTACTCCTCAAAATGTGTTTTTGCAAGACAAAGTTTTAAAATGTGTTGTGTAAATAACATGCTAATGATATTCACAAATATGGAAAAAAGAATTTTTAAACTTTATTATTTTTATTGCAATAACAGTTTACAATACTGTTTATGATTTAGGGGTACAGAGGCATATCTCTTCAGATGTATGTTGCCCACATCATGCCCACAACCAAAGCACCAATAATTCTCCACAATAGAACAATTGGGCTCCCCTCCCTCTTTGCTGATGACCCCCACCCTCTCCCTCTGGTAGCCTCAATTCTGCTGTCACAATACAAACAAAAACAAACAGGGCATCCCCTGGTAGCACAGGCAGTTGAGTGCAGCTCTGTGAGGCTGTCCGCAGCTTCTGCAGCACTGGTTCGATGCTGGCCAGCCAGCGAGAGTCCCACAATGCGCAGCAGACCTCTCCTGTGGAACCCGCTGCTGCTCCCCTCAGCAGTGCATTTCGTCAGTCTGCCTGTTCTGTTCCCCACTCTGTCTTTGGTGAATCCTCTAACCCTCCCCCGCATCTGGCCTGTACCCCAGTTCTTGTATAAATAAATAAATAGACATTAAAAAAAACAACAAAAGAACACGAAGTGAATTTTGATTAGATGTAGGTCAGACATTTTGTTTGGTCTGTCTGCTTTTGTACTTGGGAAAGTACCCCTTAGTTGTATTGGTATGTGTGTGTGTGCGTGTGTGCATGTGCATTTGTGTGTGTGTAGCATACAATGTTAACTCAACCTGAAAATAGATTGATACTGAAAAGAGAATGAGTGAAAGTGGTCTTTCAGCTTGATTATCTGCTAGAATCTCTATTACTTCTCATAATATGCTTGAAAAGTTTTATTTGTACCTCAAGGGCAAGGAGCCTGGCCTCATTTACAAATATGAATATAGATATTAACAATGCATTATCTTCTCCTCCTGGCAGTGTTGCTTGCTATTGGCTTGTTTTAGTTACTTCCTAAAAAATAAAACAGAAGATCTGTCCTTTTGGAGTTAGATGTAGCAAGGTTAATGGGGAAAGCAGAAGTTTTAGAGTCAGAAAGCTTTGATTTTCAACTCAGATCTGAGCAAGTTTATCTACTGGAGCCACTGATCTCTCACCTACTGAGGGAGACATATCTCACCAGCCTCTAAAAGCTTCTTATAAGCAGAGTGCCTGGCACAAAGATCTTCCATAAATATTAGTCCCCTGTGTAGTTATTTTTTGTCAGACAGATTTTGACAAGAGAGTTCTACAATCATAAAGTCACGCAGACAAAACTGCCTCTCTCCTGTAGTCACCATACCACATTTCATGTTGTGCTTTAAACTATAAATGATATCACTGTTTTTCATGTCTTCTGTTTTATGAGGTAACTAGATGGGGAGAATAATAAAAACTGAATTATTATCTATATAGAGGAATATTTTCTTTTAAAAACTGTAAATAAATAACCTTAAAGAGTTTTTCCAAAAATCATCCTCATTTGAGATATGGAAAAGTAATTTAGAAATGATCTGTTTAATTTTAATGGTTGATTAATTATAAAGCACCATCCCCCATTCTGTAGATAAGGGTATAATTTTATTTTTTGGCTTGAAAACTTCATCAGATCATTGAAAGGGGAAGTAGTAAATGCTTTAGAGACCACTTCAAGCTGACTTTTAACTTTTATCTCAACACATTGTATAATTATAGTCCATTTACAATGTGGTTTTGGATTATTTACTGCCATGCACAAACATAACAAAAGAATAATGATGAGATAATCTTGTTTATCTGGAGGTAAAAGCACCCAAAAGAAAATGATGAAATTCTTCTTTATATGATAGAATAGAATGGTCAACCTACATCATGGTCTTTAGGCAGATAGACTACTGTCACCCTCATTTTGCAGAAATGGTTGTCAGTGACATCAGAGACACATAAATCATATCTATACACAGCCATCCTTCCCTACTATTCCTTGAAGATTCCTATGTTGACCTCTGAATGATGATAAATAGGAGGTTTGCTGTAGAATGTACCTCCTGAATGCCAAATGATCTCCTGGTAGTTTTTTTTTTTTTTTTTAACATAAATATCATGGGCAGACAAAGGAGCTTTTCTTTTTTTCTTTTTTTTATATTTTAGTTTTCCAAACTAGATTAAAGTAGTAGAGAAAGCAGTGAATCTAAATGTCCCCTAAAGTAACCACAATTGTATATTAATCAACATCTATCTTGATCTAACTGATTGCAGGAGAAGATGTATCAGGTATTCTCTGTCCAGCCTCTCCTCCTCCTGAACGGATGGCTTGTGAAATCCCCTGCAGAATGGATTGTGTGGTAAGCGAGTGGACAGAGTGGTCATCCTGCTCCCAGTCTTGTTCAAATAAAAATTCAGATGGGAAACAGACCAGGTCAAGGACGATCCTGGCATTGTCTGGAGAAGGTGAGTGGTAGTAGAGTTTTCAACAACATACCCGATTGCCTTAATTAGTTTTTAATAGGTAATTGAGAAGGTCTTCTTGAGGAAATAGTCACCTAGAGGTGATATCTCTGTTCCCTGAATCCAGTTTGTTTCATTTCCATACATGACTTTTCTCTTAATCCTCTAGTATATCTGTGCTGGATTCCTATATTTACATGGATTACCTTACAACCATGTATACAGGTCATGCAATCAGATGGATGTTATTTTTTTAAGATTTATTTTATTTATTTATGCATACAAGAACTGGGGTAAAGACCAGAGGTGCAGGGAGTGAGAGGATTCACCAGAGACAGAGTGGGGAACAGAACAGGAAGATCTACTGAAATACACTGCTGAGGGGAGCAGTGGGCAACACAAGAGAGATCTGCTGCGCCATGTAGGTTAACTTTCTGGTTGGGGATCAATGGCAATAGCATGAAAGACTTAACCCCTGCACCACCAGGGAGGCCCAGGTGGATGTTATTTTTCATTATACGTTTTTGGTGACATAAATAATGTTGGGATGACACACCTCCAGCTTCACATGGCTCATGTAGTGGGAACATAATTGGGATAGGTCTGGGAAAAGAGCTCCAAATTAGGAATCAAGAGACCTGGCTTCTTGACCAGGAACCACCAATAATAACGGCAAGCTACTTGATTCATGTGCCCTGATTTCCTATTTTTGTCTTGCTGACATGTTTTGAGAGGGAAAGAGATGAAGGCTATGAAATTGGCTTTGAAGAGGCTAAAATATGCTATGGGAATGTTAACAGTGACAACAGAACAAATTAGAGGAACAGCTGTTCCTATCATTTATACCCATGGTCTCTGTCCCCAGACACAAGAGCCATTTCAGGTCCTCCTTTGGCTTTGTCTGCTTAGGGCTCAGTTAGAACAGCTGGGCAGTGTGGCCACTGGCTGTGATAAAGATGCTGTTCTGTGATCCTGAGGAATGGGGCCAGGGTCAAGATGAATGAACATTTTCATATTCTTAAAGTGTAATTGTCTCCCTTTCTTGTCTTTTATATTTCTGGAAGGAGAAACAAGTCAGTAGTATTTAATGGGAAAAAAAGTAACAAGAATAACAAAACCAAGGTCACAAATCTTCTTGAACATTTGGTCTGCTGAATAAAACATTACAGTGTCGAAGAGTAGGAAAAATCAATACTTCAAATAAATACCAGTTTTTACATGGATATAAAAATGTGAAAGAAAAGACAGTAATGAAATTTGATTATCTGACTCACCCAAGAGTATAGGGATGCACATCTGTCTCGTCTCCCTGCCAGTGGATAACACACTGTCAGGTATTATTTCAGAGTTTCAAGATGGACTCTTCCCTGCCAAACTTCGAGATACTTTTGGATTTCCCAAATTGCAGTAAAATGCATGGCTCAATGCAGGATGGGTATCCTAAAGTGGTTTTCTGAGAAACTCTTACCTAACTCTCTATTAGGTAAGAGAGGCCAAATATCGGTAACACATGTGTGTTCAATATGGTATCACTTCAAGGTCAGGGGCTGTTGTGTCTGGCTGATTAATCTATGTAGGCTTAATAATAATAAAATACAAGCAGATTTCTTTAAACTTTATCTTAGTGATACATGCCAGGAAGTTGGACAGTAGAATCAATAAAATTGTAATCTAACTGGCATGTACTGTGAGCTTTTATTTAGGAGAGAAGTATGCTATGCTGTTTTCAGGTTGTTTCTCAGGGTAAAGAACCATAGCTAAAGAATGCAAGAAGGGTATAAGGACTCAGCTCTTTGGAAGGCCATGTCCAAAAGACTAGCTCTCTGGACCATTGATACAGAAAAAATAATTAACATCAACAGCAGCATAGTATCAACAGCAGCATAGTATCAACAATAGCAACATCAATGTATACTTTTTGATTTTTATTTTTGCAGGTGGGAAACCATGCCCCCCTAGTCAGACCCTCCAAGAACACCGTTCATGCAATGACCATTCCTGTATGCAGCTTTACTGGGAAACTTCACCTTGGGGCTCCTGTTCTGAAGACACTTTGGTAACTGCCCTTAATGCAACCATTGGCTGGAATGGAGAAGCGACATGCGGTGTGGGCATTCAGACAAGGAGGGTCTTCTGTGTTAAGAGTCACATGGGACAAGTGACTACCAAAAGGTAATAGCAATGGTTTATTAAAAACATACAACATAATTACATAAGTATTTTTAGTTGAAAACATTTATCAAGCAATAAATATGTCTAGAGCTCGTACAAGAATAGGAGTTTATTATTGTTTTGTTTGCTTCTTAAAGAATAATAAATAATAAACATGCCTCAAATAATACTAGGTACATATATAATATGGGTCAGTAGTAAAGTTAAGGTATATTATTAGTTAATGGATAAAAGTAGATAATATCCACAAATATTGAATCATGGTAATCAAAAAAATTCATCTTAGAGTGATCAAAACAAACAAAAAATGATCTCAGTATTTTCTAATCCTAAAGGTTAGGTCCACATAAGATAGGTTCTGCACTTTGAAAGCATAACATTGTGTTTATGATCTTCTTTAGGTCCTACAGATCTTTTCTACAGTGAGCAATAAATCTGAATAGCTATTTTAAGTAGACTAATTTATGCCCCCAAGTAGTTTAAAATCTCATGTATGTGGAGATATAAATTAAAAAAAAAAAAACCAGAAAACTTGGACATGGAATATAGGACATAAATATCAAAAACAATCAGTAGCAATTGCATTTATTGAGGAAGAAGAAGAACTGAACAGGACCGAAACAGAATTGAATTTCATCTTTACACCAAATAAGCCATAACTCTTCTTCAGCTCCATGTAAGAGGACTGATGGGAAAGAAAATGTAAGTGACTGATGCAGCATATAGACACTGGGTGACTGCCATACCCATAGAGATTTCCCAGTCACCATCTTAGAACTAGATACCCTCTTATGGTAAAAGACTCCACCATTGGTGCAGGGTGGTGAGTCACCAGGATGGGCTTGTACAAGCTTTGGTCTAATGGCACACACTAACCAGCTTTGAGTTCTTCCCCAAGAATTTTCAAGTGGAAAAGTGAAATTTTCACTGCTTTCTGTTTGTTATGCTCAGTGTATATGAATTGAGAATTGATATGATCAAGCCTGTTTGAAAAATCAGGACAAGAGAGTAAAGCTGATGCGCAGAAGGAAGCTGAAGCTGAAAAGAACAAATTCTGGCAGTATCAACCCTGCCCCATCCCCCTGAGTACACTCTTACCCTTCTGGCAACATAAGCAAATGCATCTTCTCTGCTTCTGCCTAACTCAATCCAATTTTTGTTGCTGTCATGGGTAACTGAAACACCTGATTAATTTCATCTTGGGGCATCACGAGGAGGGACTTTGGGCCTATCCGCAATGCCATGACAACCACTTTAGATGTGTATCAGAAAGTCATAGAAGATCAGTTAAGGGAAATAGTGACAGAAACAGCACAGATTTGTCCAGACACTGCTGGTGTTGGAGATTCATATGAGCAGATGGCTCTGGAAATGCAAATGAAGATAACTATGACTTGAAGTGAAGCACAGTCAAAGCCTTAAGTTCCCTGTCATCCTAAATTCAACTTCTAAAGGACTGGGATTAGATGCTCTTTACTGTTGCAACCCCAGACTTGATCAGAGTGTCAGACTTGTAGTTAGTGGTCCCTATGCATTTGTAAAATATGTGAATGAGCTAGGCCTATATATTGGGATAGTGGGTATGAATTGCAAAAGGTTGAGAGAAACTGATATTTATCCTTTGCTTCAAGAAAAAAAATTCATCTATGCAAATCTAAACCACAATGAGATACCACCTCTACCTCTGAGAATGAGCCATATCAAAAATACCAGAAACAAGTGCTGGCAAGGGTGAGGAGAAAAATGAACCCTCTTACACTGTTGGTGGGAATGTGGACTGGTTCAGTCCCTCTGGAAAGCAGTGTAGAGTTTCCTCAAAAGAGTAAAAATGGATCTGCCATGTGACCCAGTAATTACATACCTAGGTATTTATCTAAAATATGCAAAAACAATAATCAGAAAGAAAACCTATACTCCCATGTTTCTAAAGGCACTATTTACAATAGCCAAGATATGGAAATAACCTATGTGCCTCCAAAAACAAGTGGATCAAGAAAATGTGGCATATACCCACAATGGAATGCTACTTAGAAATCAAAATAAAAAAGAAACTTGCCATTTGTAGCAACATGGATGGAGCTGGAAAGGCTTATGTTAAATAAAATAAGCCGGAAGGAGAAAGATAAATGCAGTATGGTGTCACTTATATGTAGAATATAGAAAACCAAACAAAGGGTCAGAGAAAAGCAAACTTTAAAACTGACCCTTAAAAACTGACCACTGATCTCAGCTGTCAGAGGGAGCAGGGGAGAGAATGTAGTGAAATTAGGGGGAGAGTAGTGAGAATACAATGGACTCTGGTAGAAGACTATGGGCTCTTCATTGGTGGGAGGGCTGCAGTGACTCTCCTGGCAGGGAATTCTGTACTGTCAAAACACTAGCAAGGATGTAAAATAACATTAAATAATTGCAAAACAGACAAATCTAAAATAATATTAAAATAAATTGCATCTACCATGAAGAATTTTGGCAGTTGTGCCTGTCATGAGAGTAATGAGCATATCCTACATATAATCTCTGCTCTTTGTAACTCATAAATGTTACCTCTGCTTTAACATACAACTCTACATTGCTTGTGATGTTTTTTGAATATCAACTTAAGCCAGAATGTTCTTCAACTCGCCTGGTATACATAACACCATGTGGATTGATCCAGTCAATAAGAGGTATAGCCAAACATGGACATTAATATTTGCAAGTGATTATATAATTCATGAGGTTATAGTAAGATCCTAAAAGGCTAATGAAGGAATTATACCCACAGGAGAATTCCTTTTAGCTTGGGAAGGATTATAACCTTGATAATATTCAGTTTTATGATGTAAATTTTTCAGCTGATAAAAAAAGATGCATGAAATATTAGCTTGCATATACAAATAAGAATAAATAAGGCTAAGATATAGAATGAAACACAATGTAAAATGCAGCTGTTATTCTTTATTGCAATGCAAAAATTTAGCATTTCTGAAGTCTGGTTTTCTCCATTCCACAAAATGTTTCAACTTTGAGTCACAATAGAAAACATCTACTTGCTATTACTTGTTTATTTCTTAGCAAGGTATATTAAAATGAGACTGACACCTACTGAATAAATTGTCATCACTTTTTAAAAGGCTATTTGGACATGAAAAATGGCATGATATATTCCTATAGCCTTCTCTTTCCTCTTTTGTTCTCATATTTTGAATGATTTTTTATGATTCTCTGAATACATCAGCATACGCAATGTTAATTTGATATTTTGTGATTGAAAAAAACCTACAGGACCCAAAATTTATAATTAAAGCATAATTTACAAATGAATATGCATTTGTTAGAAAATTTACATAAGTGAGACTAAAAAGTTATTACAGTGAATAACCTCCAGTTTTGCTTGGTTTACCAACACAGAAAAATGAATTGCACAGATGTTTTCCTTAACACACACACATGTATGAAGACACTGCTAATTCCTTTTTGCACTGTTAATGAGGCTGGAGACTTAACAACCTCGTTTTAATTATTATTGTATGTCTCCAAACAATCCTGCTAGATATGAAGAGCCAGGATTGACTTTAGTAAAGACAATTAAAATTCTTGAGGTTAATGCGATTAATTGAACTAAGAAAATAAGGCCTAGTGTCCAGTGAAGCAGAGTGCGAGAGTGAGATTATTCGTAGCAGAAAGTATCCTTTGCTTTGCCCTTTCAAACACACACATTTTTTCTCTTTCGCATGTGAAAGCTGTTGAGGTGGAAAAAGGTCCGCTGTCATTTGTGAAATCCTTCAAGTGTGGGTAGGGGTGTAAAACAGGAGAAAAGAAAGTATCGCGATATGAAAGTGTAGAGAGAAAGAAGCATGACTCCATGGAATGGAAGGACTAGGGTATGTCTTAACTCTAAGCCCATCTCACTGGGAGGGGCAAGAGCTTTGCAAGTTTCTGCTTCCCAGGGTTGGTATTGAAGTTTCCATGTAATTGTATAGGTGAGGACATTACCTTTGTATGAGTAATAGAACTGATCATATCAGAAAATGAGAACTAGCTAGGGCGCAACTGAAACAGAAATAAGAACTTGTTGGGCTGTTTCTGGGGGTTTGCTTGGTTTTGTTTCACTATTCAATACATTATTTTTTTCCAGCTGCAGTGTACAAAAAATAATAATAAATATTAAAAACACAGAATTCAGGGTCTTCCAAAGTTCCTGATAAGGCAGGTGTTTTTATTTGTTTTTGTTTCTGTTTTTTGCCATTAACGTGAAACCACCTAACCATTTGTGAGCTGCAGTACTGCATAGCTCCATTTAAACATTTTGTGTTTAGAAGTTAGCTGAGTGAGATGGCATGTCAGTTCCTGGATTGGAGATACAGCGTTGTGTGTCTGCATTGTGATTATAGACCCATAACTAGAAAATGGCAGGTCTTTTTTGCTCAATTTGATACATTTCAGCACAGTGCTTATAAGGAGCTGCAGCCTTCAGGACAGCCAAAAGGTAGTCATTATAGAATATTCCAGTGCAAGTCCAGGAAAATGTATGTGTAGAAATGAAATGCATTCATTCTTTTATTGAGAACACTGCCTAGCTAGGATAGGAGTGTGATGGGAAAGTAAGAAATATAAATTATGAAAAAGGCAAGGCCCATACTTTATTTACCAACTGAAAAGGGAATCCATATGTTCCCTAGGTTTTAAAACTTCAAATTTGTTTTAGAAGTAGCCAGATAAATTAGCCTAATATCTCCAGGGATTTGTTTATCTTCAAACTCCAACAGCATAGAATGCTATTTAATCATTCCCTTATTGTTACTAAATATTTATGCTGAGCTAGACAATGTCACTTTTAAGATATTATATAAAATGAAATTCTACCACTAAGATGTTCAGGATTAATGTATGTCCATCCCCACCCCCCCCACACACACACAAAACAAAATAGTGACACAAAGTGCGTCAAAAGCTTCTTTTCAATCAGACAATACTATGATACAGAAAATCAACCTTATCGTTTTCAGAAATGGAGGGCACATAGATTGCTAATGGTCAAAGAAGACATTTTTTGAAGGCTGAGAAAATTTATGAAAATTGGTAATGTGATGATCCCTACAGGGATATTGGAAGTAACTAGAATGGAAGAGGAAGTTGAACCCCTGTGGAATAGGTCTATCTTATTGGCAGAAGAAATGAAGAAAAGGACAGTTTCACAAACAAGAGTATATTTGGCTCATATCAAACCAAAAATCACATTCAGAAAAGCCTTCAGTTCATGGCCTCTATGAAAGCAATATAATCTGAACTTGACCTCACCATTGAGGAGTGATCTTGTTTTTCTCTTGTGGACTTAGAGGAAGAACACAGATGGAAAGTGTGTACCATATTTATGGAGAGTCGATATTATGTGAGTGTTGTGAATAAAAGCTAAAAACAGTGAAGAGTATCAGTTCCCTATGGAGCTTACACATATTCCTAATGGAAGTGAAGAAAGTCCCTGTAGCACGTCATGCTCTCCAGGAAGCCTGGAGCCCAGCGCAAGTATTTCAAAGCGTATTGGGTGGTCAGAAAGTCATGATATGTTTTTTCTATGTTTTCTGTGTAAAAATGCATCCTGACTTTTCAGACAACCCATTATTTTGTGAATGGATAATGAGTGCTGGGGTGAGGTGGCTCCCCCACCCATAACCCTCTGAGCACACAGGCAGTCAGTATTCCTTAAGTTGTACTTCATTTCCAGCCGTATACCAGGAGAGTTTGGAGAGGAGTTAGAATAAATGGCACATCAATTTAATTTTAGTAGGCCTCAGAGTATGAATCAAGGACTTGGGAATGATTTTAGTGTTTTTTGTGCTCTCTAGTGAAGTATGACATAAATTTTCCTTACCAGAGTAGCTAGTTTAAATAACACTGTGTCTTCATAAAGACTCTCTCCCTTACTATTTTCAGTGAATTGATCTATTCGATACACAGTTTTTAGTGTGTATTAAGGAAAATTAATGATGTCATGCATTATTTATTGAGCAGTTTTTTTCTATGAGTATATACATTTTCCATTTTAATTTATTTTTATCGAAGTATTATATGCTTCACGGTAGAAGTAAAATAATACAGAGGGGCTGATGAAAAACAGCAGGGCAGCAACCATCTCTTACTCCATTTAGTTTACCAATCCGCAAACACAACCCTTTTTAAAAGTTACTTTTTTACAGCCTTTTTCTCTTTCCATTTCACTGGGTAAGGCTATTCATGGTTCACAAATTCTTACAATATACAAGAAGATGTTTAATACATAGCAGTGAGAAGCCTTGTGGCCATTTCTGCTTTCAGCCACTCCTTCCCTGACACTGGCAACCACTTCATTGCTTATTATTTAGCTCCACTGTGTCTTCATGTCACTACAGCAAGTGCAAGTGTGTATGCTTGTCTCTCCTCCCTTTCCGATGTTTACCTAACAATTCTAAATGATGTATTTACATATCATTCTCTTTATCAAATTAAAATGCCCATGCCCTGATTACCCCTCATGAAAGCAATAAACCTCAGTCCATTTACAATCAGTCTTTTTTCAGCTCTCATGTTCTTGTTCTGTTGGTTGTTTACATTAGTACTTATACTTAGTATCTTTAGATCTTTATATCTTGTTTATGTTTAAGGATGGCACTCTGCTTTGTTGGATGAGAACATGTAAACCTCCTTTCTTTCTCTCTCTCCTTTTTAAACTTGTATTCACTCTGTCTTTACCATATAGTGTCAAGAATGATATACACAGTAATTCTGCATCAAATTTAGCCCTTTGCCCTCTGCTGTCCCCTCTCAGGGGACATTGCAATTTATTAGTGATTACGGGGAATTGAGGTTATTTCAACGCAACTTTTTGAGACATGCATGTTTCCCTGAAGTTTTATCTTGAAATGGCACAAGAAATTAAATCAAATTGTCGTAAAATGGTTCGGAGTGCCAAGGGTTAGTCTTCCATGTTTTACCTGTGAATTGTTCCTAGAGTTTTACCACTAAGAAAATAATTGTATACATTGGTTTCATTAATAATTATATACATTGGTGAGGTCTGGTGTTGATCAGATTCTTCACTCTTTTAGATAACTGGTTTTTCTTCTTCTCTCTCAACCAATATTAATCTCTTCCTTTTCTTGATGTTTGAAATTTTAAGAGTGTGCTGTGTTTGTACGCTGGTCATTTTTGTGTGCAATCTGTGGACCTTTCATTTGAATTGTCAGCCTTTCAGAAACTCTGCATTTTTTTTGTTGTTGTTGTTCATTACTCCTTAATTTTATTTCTTCCCTTTTTTTCTCTCTTCTATAAAGGTCTATTAATTGTCTTTTTGAAACTGCTAGACTGATGATGGTGTTTTCTCTTTTTCTAGGGAAAAAAATTCTCAAGTGTTAGGTCACAACATGGCTTCTAGTATTGATTATTTCAGCACCTCAGTAGTTTATCATCAGAAAATGATTATAATGCCTCACTGCTGTCATTAAGAAAACAAGAAAGAATGTAGGCAAAGTCCTTAACTCAGCACTGATTATCTAACTCCAGAATTCATGCTTTGACTTTATACACACGGCATTTCTGTGCTTTATGAGAAACTTAAGCATAACAGAATTTAAAACCCAAATATATGCTGCAGAGTGCTTTTCTGTTTGCTTTTCCTTTGTATCATTGTTTTAGAAGATAAAGATTTTTATCCCTCTGTACTCATAAAAACATGCAAAAAACACTTATTTGCCATTTTCTGAGACTTTAGTTCTAATGACTGACTATGATCCATTGATTATATTACTTCCTTCACAAATGTGAGCACTAAATTAATTATCAGAAATGTTTCTGTTGGTAACTTAGTGTATTTTTTCTTGAAAGTCTGGTGTACCTTGCTTACTCCAAGTCCATGTTCTAAAGAAACAGCCACTAAGTATTTAAATATTCTAAAATTTTGTTAAATATCAAAGATACGTATTCTGTTGAAGTAGTCTTCAGTGATTTTTGTTTCTCTGTATATCCCTATAGTGCCTTGTATTTTCCTCCTCCTTTTGTAAGATATCACTGTTTTAATATATTACCCTTAAAAGAAAAAATGTTTTGGGGAAAAAAATGCCAGAATTTCTTGTTCTGCAAACAAATGGAATGCTATTAGAATTGATGCTGATGGGGAGACACTTGCTTGGCATTTGTCTTTTATTAGTTTCATAGATTATTTTTCTTATCCTTGCAAAAAGTACTTTTGTCTCTGGGGCAGAAGAGCTGAAGACTGATTTGAGCTCTGCCTTTGGCTGTGAGCCCTTAGGTAAGTAGCTTCAGCAACCTGGATCTGTTTCCTGTCTATACAAGGAACAACAGGCATCAATGTTTTCTGCTCTAAAATGCTAAGTTTCTATGCTAAACCACTTAACTTGCTCCAGGAGGCATTGACATGGTTGCTTTACATTGACAGATGTCCAGAGTCTACTCGGCCTGAAACAGCGCGCCCTTGTCTTCTTCCATGCAGAAAAGACTGTATTGTGACAGCTTTCAGTGAATGGACACCCTGCCCAAGCTTGTGCCAACCAGGTAGGGGGATGCTGTTTACTTAGTGGTTTTGTTCCTAATTGCCCAGTGATTTTCTTCTCTGCTAAGTAAGTGAGAATATGGAATGACAGCATCCTTCTCTTCTATTTGCATGTCACCTTGGGTACAGAGGTTGCTAAAGTTTGTAAATGAAATCTTGAATGTCTAGATCCATAACTTGGCAGGAAATAACTTCCTGCCAATAACTTGGCAGGAAAACCATTCAATTATTATATCTCATCATTTCACTGCTGTGCATTCAAGAGTACTCATCTTTTATTAACCCTGTTGTGTCATTTTGAAGAGTCATTCATATGTGATTCCTTATCTATCACAATTTCTTTGTGGCTCCTGGGTGCTTGGAGCCTGACTCTTGGCACCTTTATTAGAATATAGGACCTTAATTAAGTACTTCTACTAAGTCTGTAGAACAAGGCAAGAGACATTCAAAAATGAAGAACAGGGTTAGGGATTGGCAATAAAATATTTGTATTTCTTTAATCTTAGTGGTTATGCTTTATACACCTGGGTGTATTTGGAGTGCTATGAACCAGAATACTTAATACTTAAGTCCTAAAAAAGGCACATAGCAGTGCTTTGGTAAAAATGACCCTCTTTCTAAGACTAGCTTTCCCTGCCCCCATGCTCACTGCAGTTCCCCAGTGAGAATGTGGAAATACAAATATTCGTAGCTCCAAAAGCTCCCTTTCAGCCTACAACCCAGAGACAATACCTTGCCCCTCTCCCCAAGTTTTTTATCCTTTCTTAGTCTTTGGGTCTCACCATGCAAGGATATAAAAGACAAATCTAAGAAAATATAGGCCAGAAGAAGCATTAATCCTAGTGCTCAGGGTACTCGGGTCACATCCACACATCCTTGGCCTTCTCTTGGCACTCGTGTGCTCTCCTGGAGCACATGACTCTCGCATTGTTGCTGTGCCAACCCCTGATAGTACAGAGAAAGAAGCATGCAGTTCTGCAAAGAAAAGCTCTGTTATAGATACTGAAAGTATTAAAGTCTCTCTTTGGAAAATTCCAACCCTGTGCTTCTAGAAGTCCCCAAAATTTCTTTGACTCACACATCTTCATTGGCAGTGACAGAAATATGGCAGCTAACATTGCCATAAATTTGACTGCCCATTTAAACTACTTCTCAGTGATTGGCAAAGGGTAGTAATAGCTGTTGCTGACTGTCATCCTCAGTGTCTTATATTGCAGAGGTGGGGCCCAAGCATAAGATTTTCTATAATGATATGTATTTCATCTTCTTAATGATCCTTTGTCACAGAGTGATATAGTAGTATCCAATGACATTTGCTTATGGGTAGAATGAGAAGCAAATATATTGAATATGAAAGAGCTTTGAAAGCACAGTGGAATATTTATCTGATCTTTTGAGGGGGAAGAAATAATGGTCTTTCTCAGAACTCTCCAAAAATTCTTTCCCTGAATGATGATAAAGTGTACTGTATTAGCTTGTTGAGTAGTTAGGGGAACACCATTTCCGGACAATGGACAAAAAAGCTATGACCTCTATTCTGAACTGTTTGAAAAATAATATCTGGGAGACTGAATTTTGGAATTTTAGTAGTAATTTATGTTAAAAATGTCAACTACTTGAAGATAAATGTTGAGGAAGAGCAAGAAGATACAATAGTCTATGATGATGGAGTTCAATTAAGGTTCAGTTATTTTTTTAATTTCTCATGAAAGATTAGCATAATTCCTCTGTGAAATGGTTATAAGAAAGAAAAAGACAGCATTAAAGAAAATCCATTATGGTAACCAGATACTGGTGTTGGAGCTCTCAAGTTCCCCTGACATTTAGAGGTATCTTCACCTTGTTGAACCAGTTGCTCTAGTGACTAGCTACTGCTTTTCTACATTCCAGAAAATTCACTGCTATTCAAGTCTTCTACCATTGACTAAGGATAGAGGAATTTTAAGTATGTAAAATAATTTCACTTCCAGCAAGTTAAAATTTTACTTCAATTTCCAGAGATCCAATTAGTTACTCAAACAGTTTCTATTATAATGAAAATAGTTCTAAGCCTCTGTAGTCTCTTTTTACCTCCTATATTTCAAGGCTAGATAATTCTTTTCATAGTCTACCAGCCAGGGGACCTGGAGGAGTAACAATTCAATTTTAGATTCTTCCAGCTTTCCACATCAGTCCTATTTACCCTCATGTTTTGTCTGTACCTTGAGACCAATATATTATTAAATAACCATAGGTTAATTAGAGGGGATGATAAAAGGAAGAATATTGGAGGAAATGGTACCTATAAACCTATGGTTCTCAAACTTTATTGCCTCTTAGTGAGCTGGAAGCATTGTTAAAATGCAGGTTTTCAGCTCAATGGTGAGAAATTGTGATTCAATAACTAAAAATTGTCCCCCCAAAATTTGAGTTGTAAGAAGTTACTCCTGAATGGTGATTCCCTTCCCTCTTTGTGATAAAAAATGACTATAGATCTGTAAACAAACAATGCTTAGACTCTGGACAGATGGCTAATCTTTCAGTTTCTTGAATTCATCATATTCTTCCCAGCTAGAGTTGTCAAATATGGTGGCTAAGCACATAGACAGTGGGGCCAGATGGCCATGGTTGATTTCCAAGTGTTGCTATGTGACAGTGGACTTAGTTTCTGCATTTGTTAAATAGGATATGTATGTGTGTGTGTGTGTGTGTGTGGGTGTGTGTGTCACATATTCTACTGCCACACATGGAATAGGCACTGGACAAGTGTTCTTGTACTTGTTTCAAGTCTGCACTTGCTGTGTGTAACTGGTGCTATCTCCACTGTCCTTCCTTGTTGGGTACTCAGTCTATGAATCCCCAGGGATCAGTTTTACAATTTTTTTTTTTTCCCCAGGACAGCTGCTCTCATCTCCCAGATTAAGTTAGACCTCAATAAGTATCCCATTCCCTTTGGGACTACCCCCATACTTTTCTTTCCCTGATAATATTGCCCTTGCTAGATTTTAAGTCCATAAGTGCATGGATCACTTCATCATCTTCACTGGAACCTCTACCCATCATTATATGAGGCTTAGTTTTCATTCAATAACTAATTTTGGGGTGGACAGATGTCTTATAAAGAGATAGAAAGATGGGTATCTGAATCCAGGCAGTTGATTATCTGTCCTTGAGCATGTCCTTCAAAAGATGATTTGGAGGGCATCCCTGGTGATGCAAGGGGTTAAGACGCAGCCTGTGAAGCTGTCTGCAGCCTCTGCAGCATGAGTTTAATCCCCGGCTGGAGCAACCCACATGGCACAGCAGACCTCTCCTGCCTCGCCCACTGCTCTCCTCAGCAGTGTACTTCGTTCAATCTGCGTGTTCTGTTCCACGCTCTGTCTCTGGTGAATCCTCTCATCCACCACACCTCTGACCTTTACCCCAGCTCTTGTATGCATAAAATAAAAATATTTTTAAAAAAAAGATGATTTGGAAAATGGTACTCTGAAACAGAATTTGTCAAACTTAAATGCTCATAAAAACCCCCAGGGATCATATTAAAATGAATTTTAGACATATATGGTAATATTATATTAATATACAATATTAACACTAATTCACAACTGATAGGGCCTGAGATCCTACTTTTCCACAAGATCCCAGGTGATACCTGTACATAGTTTACAAAGCTCCATCTGGGGGTGGGGCTTTTTAGAAATTTTTAAGCAAAGCAAAGAAATGGCCAGAGTTGTAAAGTGAGAAACATGGGCTGGTGACAGAGCAGCAGTTAGAGACATGGGTGGATGGAGCATGGGGTGAAAAGAAGTAGTTTCACCTAAAGTGAGAATTCAGAAGAACAGACCTGAGCAGGTGATATTGGAGAAATACTTATTTTGAAGCTTTCACTTCAGATCAGGTCATCAGAGTTGAGAAGGGGGTATTGTGATCCCTAAACTTGACCGCAAAAGAGAATCAACTGGAGCTCTCTAAAATAAATTGATACTGATACTCCGAGACATTATAATTGAATAGGTCTATGGTATAGCCTCGTATCACTGGATTATGTGAATCACAAACCAAATCCTTTGCAAACCTCTTGGAAAATGAAGGTGGTTTCAGCAGACTGAAGACAATAGGAGTGAAATATACCATAATGATAGATGTGTTGTGCCAGGTTGTATTTGTTCTTGGTTGGGTTGTGAGTTAAATCCTTCTGAGTTCAATTTTTAAGTCCCAGTAATAAATTCATTATATTATCAAAACCTTGTTGATACTTTTTTATGTCTATTTGCTCCTGTTCTCCCATCAGCATATAAAGCAAATGCCTGCCTGAAGTATCCAATGCTGTTTGCTTAATAATAGCAAATGTTTACTTATTGTAGAAGTTGTTGGTCTCATGGAGTGTTTTCAGTGCACAGATTCTGTGAGGCTCACCTTAGCCCACCATGCTGAGAATCTCTTCCATTAGAAGGACATTTGCAGTATTAAAATTTCCATACATTACATTTTCCATCAGTTATTTTTAAGTGGAGGAGATGAAAACACTCATTTATTGCTTTCCACTTTGCCATATGACTTTACACACATTCTAAACAATTGTAGGAGGTAATTGATTATTGTTTGTCTAGATTGTGTTGGATATTATTGTGCGTATTGCTCATATACCATCATACCCAATATTTTGAGTTTTATGTCACTAATCAGTAATGATTTTCCAAGGTTTCTTGCAGGCTGCTTTATTTTATTTTATTTTTAAAGATTTATTTTATATTTATACAAGAGCCAGGGTACAGGCCAGATGTGTAGGAGGGTGAGAGGATTCACCAGAAACAGAGCGGGGAACGGAACAGGCAGACTGAAGAAATACACTGCTGAGGAGAGCAGTAGGCGAGACGGGAGAGGTCTGCTCATCATGTGGGTTGCTCCGAGGCCAGCGGGAATCGAATGGGCACTGCAGAGGCTGCAGACAGCTTCACAGTTCTGTGCTCAACCGCCTGTGCCACCACGGAGACCCTGTTTTAATTTTATGTGATTTTTTTAA